GACTTTTTCTGTGCCCCTTTCACAGTCTTGAGACCATTATTTCAGCCACCGTCAGCTGGTCTCTTAATGGTCTTCCTTTGAGTTGCATTGACAACTCAAAGCCATCTATTACAAATCCATCAGCTGCTCTGTGGGAGGAAGATGGCCAATATGCACTATGTGATTTACAGCCTCTGAAAACCTGCTGGAAGGTCAGCTATGGGTCAATTCTGACTTGATGGTACATAAGAACAACAACAACAACAAACTTTAGCAGGGAGCTCTGATGGTTTAGTGGTAATGAGTTGTACTGCCAATCCACAGGCACATGGTTTGAATCCACCAGATGTTCTATAGGATAAAAATGAGCAATCTCTTCCTGTGCAATTTACTGCTTCTGAGAAATGACTGGAGGTTCAGCTATGGGTTGGTTCTGACTCAATGGTTCATAACAACAACAGCATACTTTAACAAGAAAGCACCTGTAGCATAATAATTTATGCTAACTTGTAATCGGTTCCTCTCTGGGAGTTCAAATCTTCCAGACTCTCTGCAGAAGAAAGATGAGCAATCTCAACCTGTGACATTTAAAACCTCTGAAAATCTGCTGGAGGGTCAATTTGGAGTCAGTACCAATTTGATGACAATGACTTGAGTTATTTTTTACTTTTAATAAGGCAGCTCTGTGGCCTAGGCCATAAAGAGTTGCACTGCTAATCCAAAAACTACTCCTCTCTGGCAGTTTAAATTCACCAAGTGCCCATGAGCGAGAATGACGGACAATATTCTCCTATACAATTTACCATCTCCCAAAGCTATGCATTGGTTCCAACTTGATGGTAATGAGAAGTACTTTTTTATAAAAGATGTTTGCAATGAATAGGTCAATGATTGTACAAAATTCTATTTTTAACCTCATTTCTGTCACCATATCTAGGAATAAGAGAAGAAGAATTGATATCTTTGAGCTGTGTGAGAAGAGTATTGAATATACCATGGACAACTGGGAGAATCAACAGATTTGTCCTAGAAATTGTAAAATTAGGCTGCTCCTTAAAGGCAAAGATTCTGAAGCTTCATCTGACATACTTTGGCCAAGTTGCAAGTTAGGAAAAGTCCTTGGAGAGAGACATCATGCTGGGGAGGAAGAAAGGACAGCACAGAGAGGAAGACCTTCAATGAGATGGATTGATTCAGTGACTGGGATAATGAGGGTAGGTATATCAGAGATAATAAGATTGGTATAGGATAGAGACGGCTTTACAGCTGTTGTTATACATAGGGTCACTATGAGACACAGGAAACTCATCAGCACATAAAAAAATAACACAACATATCTGTTGCTGTTTCAGTACCACTCAGTTGTTATGTTGGCTGGAAGAGATTGAGGTTAACAGTTACAGAAACACTCTTGGGCCCAGCAGTCAGGAATTCAAAAGACTAACTGCATTGGGGAAATCTACTGTCAGGGACCTCTTCAGAGTACTGAAATGCAATAATATTGGTCTAGAAACTAAGGTGTGCCTGATCCAGGCCATGGTCTTTACAATTATTTGCTATGCATCAGAGAGCTAGACAATGACTAAGGATGACAGAAGAAGAATAGATGTCTTCAAGCTGTGGTGCTGGAGAAGAGTCTTGAAGATACCATGGACTGCCAAGAAAACAAATATGTCTGTCTTGGAGAGGGTGAAACCAAGTTTCTCCTTGGAGGCTAGGATTTTGAAGCTCCATCTCACATACTTTGGTCACACAGTCAGGACTGATCGATACTTGGGAGAAAGACATCATGCTCGTAAGGGAAGGATGGAGGGACAGCACAGGAGAGGAAGACTCTGGTTGAATGGGGGTTACTGTGTTGGAGACTATAAGACTGGCTCAGGACAGGGCAGACTTCAGAGCTACTGTACTATTTATTGGTCGCAGGTAACTTGATGGCAAGTAACAAGAACAACAACAACATGAAAGGTCATTTTACTATAAATTAATATTTCAATCTCTGCCATTGTTTATTGTCATTTTCTTGATATATTTCTCCTACTATTTGATTTTTAGCTTTTATCTTTGTGCCTTAGTTGTGTGTCTTGCATACAGTAAACTTATGAGTCATGTTATTTTAAGCAGAGCAAAGATTGTTGGGATTGTGCAGAACTGAGCACGGAAGAGTTCTGCGGTACATGGAGTAGTAAGATGGTAATTTCTAAATACGCTTTTTAAAGGTAATGTATGGGAAATCAGAAGTTTGAGTTATTTCACTTTTATGAAGGAGCCTTGGTAATATATTATGATACACGTTACAATGGTTGTCAATTTTAGTCTACCAGAAGCTCCATAGGAGAAAACTATTTAGTATTCTCTTAGAAAGATTTACAGTCTTGAGGACATCATAGAGCGTTGACATCTGTAGGAATGCACTGGATGGCAGTAGGTTTGGGGTCTTAAATAACCATATAATGTTACTCCCATCTTATCTAGCAAACAATAAATCATCTAATCTACTGCACTACTTTTTTTTTTCTTTAAAAGAGCTGAAGTTAGGCTAGCTCTGGTGGCCTCGTGGCAAGAAGATGTACTACAATCCCCGCAATGCACGGTTCAAATCCACCAGATGTTCTGCTGGAGAAGGAGGAACAATCTCCTCCTGTACCAGTCAAGATCTGATTTAACGGTATACGCACAAAATAAAAAAATTTAAAAGATTTAAAAAATTTTAAAAAAGAGCTGAAGTTAGAAATTAAATAAGTAAACTCCATTAAAAAAGAAGAAAAAAGTCCTCAAGAGATAGGACACGAGAACTGTCTCATCTCTAGGAGAGCATGAAAGAGAGAGATGACAGCTACATAACAGGGTATGAAGAAGCCAGCCATCATTTGAGCCAACACATTTTTTGCTCTGCTTACACATACCATCCATCTGCTTACATGTACCCTCACTTTTTTTAATATGTAATTTCCATATGGATACATCCAAATCTCAAACATTTACAAACATATTTTACACATTAGGCACTGTGATTATGGGAAGACTGGCAAGTGCAATAAATTCCAGATGGACACTGTCCTAATATAATCTTACTCATTTTCTCTTCTTTTGAAGATCTATTGCAAATCCTCTGCCGAATCTTCTGTGAATCTGCCATCTTGCCTGGAGTTACTTGAATAAAGTGTGGGGGAGGGGGGAAGGATGATGGAGTATAGAAGAGGCTGGCTTGATTTGCTTGCTACTCAGATTCATAAAACATATGCTACCCTTTAAAGACTGAATGAATGATCATGTTATATCATTTATTTTCTTTTAAGTGTTAGCTGTTGATTTTGATTCAGGAACAGTAAAGGATATTATCAACAGTTTTGAAACTTAATATGTAAAAAAATCATCCTTTCTTTAGATAAAGTTAGTCACTGACTCTATTATTTTTTATCTTTGCATCAGTAATAAATCTAAAACCTGAATAAATGGATCTACGTTTGGGTAGTGAAATCAGTTTGTGATCAGCTGGTAACCTCCAGGTCAACTCCAGATAGATAGTTTCCTATTGTGATCTGTTTTGTTTGTTTGTTTGTTTTTCAGGACAGTGTCATAATATAACTGAAAGGTTAGCTGAAGGCAGACCTGCCAAACCATTTCCTTAAAAATTATAGAAAAGAAAACCCAATGGAGCCATTATACTCTGTAACATAACTCATTCTCATTCTCAAACAGGCTGACCTAACTCAAAGCTGACCCTCCACTGAGTTTCCAAGAATGTAAATTACACAAGAAGTTGCTGCCCACCTTTCTCCTAGTGAATTTGAAGTGCCAGAGACATGGAGTCTTTGGGTTAGCACCCTAATTCCAGTAACTGCCACCAAAGCTCCCTGTGACATATGGGGCCACTTTAATGGAGGGCTAACTTTGTAGGAATTAAAAGATCACAAAGCTGAATCTCAAATCTGAACAGGGCATGCCTTTATGGATAGCAGGATTACCACTAGTATCTAAGCTAGTAAAATAAAATTATTAGAATGTTTAGACAGCAATGAATCAAAAAAACAAAAAAAGATTAACAAAACACTTTCTAAGAACCAAGAGTAATAAACTTTATACACTGCACTGGTTCATGTGCATACTGAATAATTGTATACAAACTAGTAAACATGCCAGTTTCATCATTTGCTAGCCAGAGGCCCAAGAATGAGTTCATTAATTTGTAATAGCTGCATGATCAAAAGATTTAAATTACGGGACTGCTGTGAAGGTTGAAAAAAAACCCTAGACTATCTAAGCATTCCACTTGGCATAAAGGATTCAGGTTATTAATGGTAACATGAGAAAGTAGGACAGGTATAAATATTTCCTATATTAAATATACCATGAATATGTATTCATGAATGGTATTCAAGAAGATTGAATATACCATGGGCTGCTAAGAGAACGAATACATTCATCCTGGGGAGGGTTAAACTAGGCTGCTCCTTGGAGGCAAGGATTCTGAAGTTTTGTCTGACATACTGTGGACATGTTGCAAGGAGGGGCTAGTCTCTGGAGAGGGGTGTCATGCTTGGGAGGTTGGAGGGAGAGAGCAGGAGAGGAAGAAACTCACAGAAAGGGATTGATTCAGTGACTGGGTTAATGCAGATAGGTGTGTTGGAGACAGTGATACTGGCAAGGGATAGAGCAGGGTTTAGGACTGTAGTACATAGGGTCGCTATGAGTCACAGGTGACTTCATGGCACATAACAACAACAACAACAACAACAACAACAACAACTATAAACCAGTGATATATGAGTTAAAAGTCATCCAAGATAGATATAAACTTTGAATTAAATATAAATAATAACAGATAATAGAAAACTGGTGGTGATTAAAAACAATTCATTTTCCCCATTTTCCTTATTATTGCAATGCTTACTCTCAATCACACTTACAGAACTAAATATGCTTCAAAAATGATCATGATAAACAATGAAGATATGTCAATTAAAGCAATAATTTCTCTTTTTCATCAAAAAGGATACCCCAAATATTTAAGTTCTTACCGCAGCTTGCCGATGAGTATTAGACAATATTCCATGAATTTTCACTTTGTCTTTTTCCATTTGGTCTATGTTCACCCATAAATCCCGGCTGGCAGAATCAGATGGCCCATATATCCGAGATATGTAGTAATTATGATCTGTGTCCTCCTGTATTAATAAGGAAAACAATGTATATTAAAAAAAAATTAAGATAGTGTCACTGTAAGTCTTATAGTTCTCAACACACACACACACACACACACATTCCTGTTAAAATGACAAACTTCAGTGTTCTTCCTAAGGGCCAAATGAAACCCCAGGGCAATCCAACAGTGCCATCCTGGCTATCACTTGTCTGTGTCCTACATACCTGCTCAGGTCAGTGCACCCTGTTGGAAGACTAAGAGCCTGAGATGCAGCAGCGCTTATCTTAGCAACACAGGCTGAAGGCAGCAGTTGACTACACTGTTGGTTGTGTTTGTGAGGAAATTGCCTCAAGCAAAGAGATACAGTTTAGCAAACAAGCCATCATAGCAAATTTGAATTTCTGACAGTGTAAAAATGCTGCAAAAGACCTTAACAAGTTTGCCAAGTATAGAAAAAGAAGTGCAATTAACACTGAAGATGTAAAGCCCTTAGCCAGGAGTAATTCACTGCTCTAACATACCACAGAGAATAATGGTAAAATGGCTCAGTTTAACTTAGGAAAAAAGAAAGAGAAGAACAATTTTAAAGGTGTAAACCAGGATTCAAGGGAGCCTGCTACCTCTGGCACGCCTGGCATGAACTATGGAAAGTAACATTTTGACTTATTGCCATCCAGAAAAAAACACTCCTCAGAAGGTAATCGCACAAAAAAAAAAAAGAAAAAAAAAGAAGGTAATCGCAGTTGCTGCTGCTGTTCATAGGTGACAATGAATTCACTCCAACTCATACACTGAGTCACTGCACAAAGGATAATTAACACTGAAAAATTTCAGGAAGTACAATGAGAACAGGAGCCAAAGGTATTGAAGTAGGAAGTTAAAGCTCCACTGAAGGCATTAACTAAACAAAAATAAGGCTCAGGCATCAATGGGATGTTAATTAACATGTTTCAACCAACAGATGCAGCCCTGGATGTGCTCACCGGTCAGTCAGGAAACATGGAGGATGCCTAACCAACTGACTGGAAAAGATCTATATTTTCCCCATTTTTAAGAAAGGTGAGCCAATAGAATGTGGAAGCAACTAAACAATATAATATTAAATGCAAGGAAAAAATACTGTTGAAGATAACTCAAAAACAAAAAGAATAGTACATAGATATGGAACTGCCAGAAATTCAAGCAGGATTTAGAAAAGGTCATGGCACCAGTGATGATGTCAGATGGATCCTGGCTGAAAGTAAATAATACCAGAAGAATATCTATGCTTTACTGACTACACAAAAGCATCTGATAGTGTGATTCATGGCTCATGACAAGTTATGGCTAACATTGTGAAGAATGGGAATCCCAAGAAAATTAATTGTGCTCATGCATAACTTATATCTAGACCAAGAGGATGTTGTGTGGACAAAACAAAGGAAAACAACATGGCTTTAAATTAAGAGAGGGATATGTTAGGGTTATAGCTTCTCTTCATACCTATTCAACTGTTTGCTGAGCAAATTATTTGAGAAGCTGGACTCTATGAAGAAGAATATGGCATCAAAATCAGAGGAGTCATCAATAATCTGTTGTATGCAGATGACACAATCTTGCGTGTTGAAAGTAAGGTGGACTTTAAACATGTGTTGCAGAAGATTAATACAACCTTCAATGCAGATTGCATCTCAATGTCAAGAAAACAAAAAATTCATACTAATGTATCAAAAGGCAACATCATGATGATGGATAAAAGACAAGTTGCCAGTAACTTCATGTGGCAGTCAGGAAATCAGGAGACATGTTGCTCTGGGAAATTTTGCAGTCAGTGACCTCTCAAAATTATTGAAGAGCAATGAAATCAGTTTGAGCACTAGGCTGTGCCTGATTTAGGCCATGATCTTTTGGATCACTTGCTATGTATCTGAGAGCAGTACAATGAACAATGATAACAGTAGAAATGATGCCTTCGAGCAGTGGTGTGGAGAAGAGTACTAAACATCCCATGGAATACCAAAAGAACAAACAAACATGTCTGGAGAAAGAGCAGCCAGAGTGTTCTTTGAAGACAAAGATGTTGAACTTGAGACATATTGCTAGGAGGGGCTAACTTTGGAGTGGGACAAGAGAGAGGAAAATCATCAACTAGGATGACAAAAGAACGGTTGCAATGGGCTCTAGTGTGTCAGGAAATGTGAGGATGCCACAAGACAGGATAAGGTTCAGATCTGTTGTGTTCAGGGTCACTATAACTCGATGGCACCTAAAAACTTTGTGAACTTACATATACTAGATCAATACTCTTCCTTCCCTGGTACCATTCTTACAATCTCCAACGTGCTTAAGCTCAGGGTTAGAATCATTACGTCAATCCACCTTGAGGGTCTTCCTCTTTCCTTTAACTTCTACTTATCTAAATAGGATGTCTTTTCCCAAAGACTAGTCCCTGCTGAAAACATGCCCAAAGTACGTCAAACAAAGTTTCACCATCTTTGTCTTTTAAGAGCACCTTGTTTTCCTTTCTTTCAAATGGTTTTGTTCATGGTAGTGTCTTCACCAACACCACAAATTAAAGGGATCAATTATTGTTTGGTCTTCCCTAGTCACTGTTCAACTTTCATATCTATATGAAAAAAAATTTAAAAAAAATCATGGCTTGAATTAGGTGCACCTTATTCTTTATATTGGCATCCTTATTTTATAGGACTTTAATGAAGTATTTGACAGCAGTCTTTCCAAAACAGTATGTCTTTTCATTTCCTGACTGCTGCCTCATTGGGTGTTAAATGTGGATTGAAATAAAATTAAATCCTTAATGACTTCTATCTTTTTTTCTATTAACCAGAAAGTTGTATTACACCAAAGGAGATTTTGAGGATTTAGATAGAGATGAATAGGGGAAAATCCAAACCAGGCCATGCAGATATTTTCCCCTTCTATATTTTCTAAGTCTTGGCCTTTAAAAGCTAATTGGAAATAGAAACAGAAAACTGTTAAGCAATTCTCATGTCTACCTCAAGCACACAAGAAGGTGACATCTGTTTACCTATTTATTTTTTAACTTTTTAATATGAATTGGGTCAAAGTTTACAGAGCAAATACATGTTTCCATTCTAAACTCATATACTTCATGACACTGACTGCAATTCCCACAATGTAAAACACTCTTCCTCCTTTAACCCTGTGTTTACAATTTCCTTTTATCCTTCTATGCTTGCCCTTCCTGCCTGCAAAGTTTTGTCCCTGGGCCAATGTTACCCTTTTGATCCTGTGCTTGATTGTTCCAAGGTAAAGTGCAGCCACAGTGCTCCTTGGAGGCAAGGACGATGAAGCCTTGTCTCTCATAACTTGGACATGTTAGAAAAGGTCGTTCCTTGGAAAATGACATCATGCTTGGAGGGTCAGTGAAGGAGAGGGAAGACCCTCAATGGAATGGATTGACACAGTGGCTGTAGCAATGGGACCAAGTGTTTCAGAGACAATGAGGAGGGGACAAGATTGAACAGGGTACAGAATGGATGGTCAAAGGCCTACTGAGTCGTACTCACTTGCCAGCACTCTGCAACAACAGCAAAGTGGGCACAGATCTTCAATGTTACTATTCACCTCATAAGACTTATTGTTGAGCCATGGTAGTCTGTTACTAGTTTTGAAGGATGTCTAAGCATCACAACCTTGGGGGTTTCACCACTATCCATTCAGGAGGTGCTGGTAATTCTTATGATTTTAAATGTTATTCCACATTATTTGTTCCATAATAATGTTAGAAATATTTCCAATTGTTGCCCAAACAAAAGTGTTATTTTCAGAAAGATTTACTAAAAAGATAAGCAAGCCTGGTGGTACAGTGTGTTGTGTGTTGATCTGAAACACACAACTAACCAAAAAACCAGATCAGTGATTTGAATCTACCCTTTGCTTCTCCCAAATACTTAACAGTTACATCATTGATGTTGACTTCGTTCAGTCACACAAAAATACTGTAGAACAAAGGTGATACATTTTTAGAAGCATACTGTGTCATCGTTCTCCCAATGAGACACTGGTAGATCTGAACCACTGACCTTTTGGTTGGCAAATTACTTATTCTTTGGACCATCCGAGCTCATGGTACCTAGATAGATCTTAAAAATGCTATCAGTTGATAGACTCATTCAGTTCTGGTGTTCTAGGTAATCAATCATATATATAGTAGACATGGAAGTGGGTACCTAACCAGCTAGGTATCTTCAAGTCTGAACCATAAATGATAATGATTTAGTTAATTTCCGAGTACGTAGTATGAAATGGTCTTTTAGATGAGAATTTTGAGTAATTTGAAAAGCAATGTGTATATCAAATCCCTATAGCTCGTGTAGTATACAAAGTTCAATAGCACTGATGACAAATTCAAGTTTTAGGTGAATTATACCACAGAATCTATGATGCTGCCAAACTTAAATATACTTTTCATCAAAATTCTAAACTTTCACCACAAAATTCAGTATAGTTGTTGAGATCATGTCTAACTGTTGTTTTTATGTACTGATAACTTGAAATCAACTCACAGTTGCTGCTCCACCCAGTTTTCAAAGGCTGTGAGCACCCGGTGGTTTCTCTGTGAAGTTGCTGGCCTTTGGTTGGCAATGCAACTCCTTAGGACTAGGTCACAAGAGCTCCCTTACATAAAATGGCTTCCATAGTTTCCTTATTCCTTCATTTCCTTTAATTATTTAATGTTTATAATGTTACCATAATGAACGAGAATAGGATCTTTTCAAATAATGTATTATCTGGAAAAAAGAAAGGCCACTCTGTCTAATTAAAATATATATCATGGGCACGACTATGTGAAAATATTCCTTCATTTTTACATAAATTAGAGCTGCCAAGAATATTACATGTAAGAAAGTACTGAAAAGCTGAATAATAGTGCTTGGTGTTTGACTTCTATAGACCAAATCTGTCAAGTTGTCATGGGAACATTTATTCGATGAGGAGGAAAATTTACTGTTTACCCAACAATTTGAGAAATACCTGGTTACATTCTAGGGAGAGGTA